GGCTTAGAAAGTATAATGTTTTTGCACTGATTGTGGGCCTTTACTACACAGTCCACTGTTCCCATCTCCAGTTGACAGATGTGGTCCGGGATTGAGAGTTCCACGGTCAGGACTTAATTCTAGGCGCGAGGGAGCCCAGTTCAGATTGGGACTGCATCCCTTGGGGAGAGCAGGATTGAGCCCCCTCCCGTGCTATTTTCCTGATCAGAAATGGCCCCAGGGACTTGTGTTGGGGAAACGCACACGTCATTTCGGGGGGGAAATCGCGGGGGATCGCAGTTCCCCCGGGTGAGGTACGGGGGGGTGGGGCACGTGACAAAGCCCCGCCCCCTGCTTCCGGCCGCCCCGCTTCCGGCCCTCATTCAGCCAGGAGGAGGCAGGAGGGAGGGTAAGTTGCTTCCTCCCTGCCTCTCCCCACCCCTGCCTGCCTGGGGCCAGGGAGGGCCTTCGCGGGGCTTCCTAGCACTCCCGCCGGCATTACAAGTCCACCGCCGGGCCCCTTATGGGGCTCTGCAGTGAAGCTGCAAGGCCGCCACCGGCGGCCAGGACCATTGGGGGCGGGGTGTGTGGCCTTATGACACACTTCCGGTGATGTCAGGGGGTGTGGCCTTATGAAACACTTCCGGTGATGTCAGGGGTGTGGCATATGCTAATGAGTTATGCTAATGAGTTCCCTTAGCTCTTTTTCTACGAAATGACCCCTGGGGAAACATAATGTGTAGTGACAAGCTACATGTGTACTGCATTTACATTTCCCCAGTGGGAAGGACCTATTTCTACTTGCAGAGGTGTACCTGCATCGGGAGCAAGGGCTGCCTCGCTTTGCAGGCAAGTGAACAGGAACAGCAGGATGGTGAGCCAAGGTGACTTAGCACAGGAGAGAATTCTTCCATGGCACTACGGCCTTTGGTTTGTTCCTTTCTGTGGTTCCTCTCCTGGTGCTCAGCTTGTGTTTCCTGTCACCTGGTGTCTTGGTCTGCAGCCTTCTGGTCGTGGTGCAGATGCTGATGAGGTAATACTTCTGCCCCCCCCTCTTCCTGTCACATGGTCAGTTTGTTAGGTCTCACCCTGTGTGATGTTACTTGATTTTTCTGGTTGATTCCTCTTGGCTTTATTACTGTGCTATGCTGTATCCTAATAAGGCTTGAGATGGCAAAAAAACACTCCGTAAGTGGTAGGAGCACCTTGCCTGCTTCTGGAAGAGTTGACATATTTGCTTGTTCCTATTATTTCAAGCAAGTGCTGCTTATTTTGGTGGCTGAGAGCTGTTCTCTTGATGATTCCAAAGGAAAAGGGATATGACGGTTGCACAAGGTTTGTTCTGCCACCATAAGGAGGGGAATGAGCCTTGCGTGTGATTTAATTAAATGAGGAGGAATTTGTACGGAACACGCATCATTTCTACATATTTGATCAAAATTAATTGTGTGTTCCACAATGGCGGGATTCATGTAACCACCCTGCCTCTAATGCGAAAAAAGGAATCTTCTATTTATAAGGGATTCATTAAGAGGCATTAACATTGTCTCTAAAGACACAATGATCTAATTAAGTGGAGCTTGAGATGGAAGATTAACATTTCACTTATTTTTCAATTAGGTAAGTTGTGTGAATGCTATAATGTACTTATGGACCTTCTTTTGAGGCTGTCCTAAAGTGAAGGGAGGGGCTTTCACATTTAATACACGAGACTGCCTGATGCTGAGACAGTCCCAGGCCTACCTAGTGCACCAACATCTGCTCTGAGTGGCAGTAACCCTTTTTGTTTTGTGCTCCTTCCTGTTCCAGATTCACAGAAATCCCAAGGAAACGATAAGCAAGACCAGATTTGCTTACAAGGAGATTTTTAAGAAAGCATCAGACTTACAGAAAATGCAGGCTAAGCTCCCATCAGCTGGGCCTCAAACACGTACAACCACAGCAAAGCTTGCCAGAATCCAAGACTACACGCATAACTAAAACTAGCCATCTTACACCCTATGTGCTGGCTACCAAAGCTAGCCCAGACGCTTGGATGAGCCAGGCCATCTTGCACCTGGCATCCAGTGGGTGGAAGAAACAACCCAGGCTTAACATAAGAGCATAAGAAAATAAGAGAAGCCAATGTTGGATCAGGCCAATGGCCCATCCAGTCCAACATTCTGTCAACACAGTGGTCAAAAATACCATGTGCCATCATGAAGTCCACCAGTGGGGCCAGCCAGGACACTAGAAGCCTTCCCACTGTTGCCCCCCCCAGCACCAAAAATACAGAGCATCACTTGCCCCATACCAAGAGTTCCTATTTATACTTTGTGGCTAATAGCCACTGATGGACCTCTGCTCCATATGTTTATCCAGGGGTCATTTTGTAGAAAAAGAGGTGCAGGAGCTCATTAGCATAACTCATTAGCATAACTTAATTGCATATACCACACCCACCGACATCACTGGAAGTGTGGCAGAAGGCAACACCCACCGCTCAGGCTCCACTGGACTGTTTTGGATTGCAAGCTATTGGGGGGGGGTCCTCCCAAAGAATTCCCTAGCTACGGGGCTGCTTGTACCTGAATAAAACTTGGTCTTAAAGGTGCCACTGGACTGTTTTGGGCCGGGGGGGCGGGTCTGCAACTTAACTGGCTGCTTCTTGCTCTGACTGAGGGCTGCTGGGAGCAGGGGGTGGGGCTTGTTGCATGTGCCCGTCCCCTGGGCTCTTTACTGCCGGAGCTCCACTCCTGTGTGCTCCTGCAGGAAATGACCCCTGTGTTTATCCAATTTCTTCTTGAAGCCGTCTATGCTTGTAGCCACCACCACCTCCTGTGGCAGTGAATTCCATGTGTTAATTACCCTTTGGGTGAAGAAGTACTTCCTTTTATCTGTTCTAATCCAACTGCTCGGGAATTTCATTGAGCGCCCACAAGTTCTTGTATTGTGAGAAAGGGAGAAAAGTACTCCTTTCTCAGCCTGCTCTATCCCATGCATAATCTTATAAACCTTGATCATGTCACGCCTCAGCCGTCATTTCTCCAAGCTAAAGAGTCCTTTCTTCATAGGGAAAGTGTTCCAACCCTTTTATCATTCTAGTTGCCCTTATGCGATAATATCCTTTCTGAGGTGTGGTGACCAGAATTGCACACAGTATTCCAAATGAAGATAAGGGTTTGATAGATAAGGCTTTGAAGATAAGGGTTGTTAACAAGCATGGGAGAGAGAGGAAGCTCTTTTGGGAGCGGCTGAACACTGTCCTCTCACAAGACTCAGGGCAACTAAGCATCAGCATGTAATAAAGATGGAGTTACCCGGGCCATACACTTCCCCACTCCACTGACTGGATCCAGACTAAGTTTTCCGCCAACCAAAGGCACTTCCATCAGTGGAACAGAACTTTCCTGCCCCTTCCCCTCCTGCTGCATCCCACTCATCTCCCTGAAATGCTGTTGCTGCTGGAGGACGCAAGACCTTCAGGAATGGCATGATGGGCAAATTGGGGGTCTGCAACAGAAAGGGGGAACGGGCAGAAATTACACCTCCTCTTCCATTAGTGGGAAACTTTAATCTGGATCCAACCTTATGTAAGGTAGGAAGATCCACCGTCAGAAGACTTCCAAATGTTGTAGTAACTGCTTATTTACAAGTATAGAAGTTGAACAAGGGGGGAGCTGGCAAGCAGTCATTCAGACTGTGCTATCAGTTTCCCAAAGATAAACAGTAAGTATGAATAGCCTCCTCAGAAAGACTGCTTTTCTAGCTAACTGCAACTCTCAGGCGTCTCTCTTCCATTCTGGCTACTGCCAGTTCGGCTACCAAACTGTTTCCTTGCAGCTTCTACCCAGTCTGTATGTCCCAGCTAATAGCCGCCAACTATCATGAATAAGGGAAGAAATGTATTTTTGCCATTAGTGCAGGCTGAGGAAATATCCCAGAACTAATTGAAAGGTAGTAGTAGAAGAAGAGATGGTTTTTATACCTTGCCTTTCATTACCCAAAGGACTCTCAAAGTGGCTTACAATTGCCTTCCCATCCTCTCCCCACAGGAGGCACCGTGTAAGGTAGGTGGGGCTGAGAGAGCACTGAGAGAACTGTGGGTGTCCCTCGAATAGGTATCCCTCGAATGGGTATCCCTCAAATAGGAGCCCCTTACCCCATCTTTGGATGGCCTTATTCTGTGGCTTTCAGTATCCATCCAGAGCCATGTTCTGTCGTTTGGTTGAGGAAGTTTGATTTTTGATCCAAGCACTGCTTATTCTTGGTGGCACCCTTAGCTGGCCCCTTCTCCTTCCAGTACTGACTGGGACTGTGTGCCCATATAAGTGTTGCAGGATACGTTTAAAAGGGCATCGGTGGCCCAAAGTACAGGTCACGTCTAAAGCATGCTGCCAACATAGCTTCCGATAGGATGTTAGCTGTGAGGTCCCCATGGTGACTCAATTTAGAAGTACTACAAGGGCTGTGGCAGAACATGCCTGCTCTGGCCTACAGGCCTTGTTCCGCCCTGCTCTCCTAAGGGTTTCCAACTCCCTGGAGGGGCTTTTCTTTCACTCTCAGGGTAGCCCGCCACCACTACTTGTTGTAGGGATTTATGTACTGGGAGGATCAGGACTCCCAGCTCCCTGAGGCCTTGCCTCTGTGTCACCCGCTGCCCAGCGCCTGGCCACCATGGGGACAAATTAATGCTTTGGGCACCCTTGGAGGAATAGCCAATTGCTAACCCCCTGGCTGCCTTCTGATAGTGTGTTCGAGATGGTAGGGGTCTATGTGGTACAGAGAACCAATCCCAGCATCAACAGTTTAAAATATTTATTAAAAAGAAAATGTTTACAAGCATTCTTTTAGCACAGCACCAGATCTGAGCAAGGAAAAAAGAAATTGGTAAAATACAATTCCTCTGTCCCTCTCACTATATATGCCCTAACTGATGATAAAATAGGACAGGCTCTTTTAGCTTAGCTGTTCTAGTTCTCTACAGAGTGACCATTACCTTGAAGCTTGCTCCCAGTCTCCCAGATGAGCACATGATCAATATGGCTGCCTCAGGAGTTAAGAGTCCTGTGTCTTCTCATTGTCTGAACATCCCAAAGAAAGAGAGCTACTTCCTGTGGCAAGGAAGTTTTATCAAATCCCTGTGTCCTCCCACTGACCAGGTCAAAGATGCACTTCCTGGAGATCTCCAGGACTCTGCTTCTTCAGGACTATCTAGCATTTTATACCACCAAACCTCTATTCCCTGCTTGGAGAAGGAGGGAGGAGAAAGGGGAAGCTTCAACATCCATTAGCATTTGTATGAAGGTGAGCCAGGAAAGCCATTGATGAACTTCCTCCTTCCCAGAGAAAAGAAAAAAAGGAAAAACTTTTAAAATGTCAAGTGGAGGTTCACTGCTTGCCAGCCTCCCAGGAGAAAATGCATATCATCACATTGGCCATGGGCTGCCAACCTCCAGGTGGGGCCTGGAGATCTCCAGGAGACCAATTCTCCTGGAGAAAATGGCAGCTTTGGAGGGTGGAGTCTATGACATTATACCCCACTGGGGTCCCTACCCTCCCTAAATCCCACCCTCCCCAGGTTCCACCTCTAAATCTCTGTGAATTTCCCAACCCAGAACTGGCAACCCTACAGGGTCATGATTCTGTCTGGAGCTGCAGTGTGCCCCACCCCCAGCCATATTCTCAATCCAACTGGACCCTGGTGGCACTTCTTAATTGAGTTGCCACAGGGAACTCACAGGTGATTTAGGCCTGCAAGTTCCTGTGACAATACTTATACAAACATAATATGGAGTTTGGGGCTATGTCTTCTTCATCCCTATGTGTCCCTGGTGTTCCACAGCAATAATTCTAGTGGTGTCATCTTGCCTGGGAGGAGGCTGCCTTCCCTTCCAGCAGGCTTGGGTGTGGTGGAAGGCAGGAACCCCTTTAGTGGCTGGATGTAGCCCACGGGCCATATGTTTGACACCCCTCTTCCAGAGTCTTGGGCAGACAAGGGTCTTTCCCAGCACCTCTGACTTAAGACCTCAGAACTAGAGAGACCCTGAGGCCTTCTGCATACAGTGCATGTACTCTGCCATGGAGCCATCATATCTTCATATTTTTTCTTTTCTTTCAGAGATGGAATATCTTCCACACACACACACTCTGGTCCCTGGCAGCATGAAGCACAGATAATCATAGGGCTTGTCTGACGTATTCCATATTTCCCTCCCATCCCCTGGTGATTATCTGACAGATCTGACCTAAATTAGGAAGCCATTGTCTTTCTCTGGTTCATTGCCACAATGTGAAAGATGCATTGAAAGCTCAAAGGACAGGGGAGAAGCGGCAAGTTGCAGACAGCAGTTGCGGACTGGCACTGTAGAATCCAAGATGTTTTTTCCAGCATTGTTTCAGGAGTCTCTCTTTTTGGCTTTTTAATTCTGCTTTCTTTATTCCTATAAGTAGATGTGCTGATTGTCAAAAGGCTTTGACCCAGGGAGAATTTCAATAGCTTTGCTTTAGAAAAGAAGCAGATCTTGGAACACTTCCAAAAAAGTGGAATTTGTTGCCCAAAGTCCTGGGTCCAGGTCTGGGGTGTACAGCGCACATTAAATGGTACCACCTCCAACAGCAACTTTTTCTAGTGTCGCCACATTGTACAGAGATTCTGGCTTTCTCTGTAACGGATCTCCAGCCAAATAAAGGGAGGATGCAGCTAAGATTTCTCTTCCCTGCCTTGCTTTCCTTATGGTCCCTTTGCCACCTTTTCCTCTCACATGTTGAGAGCAAGGCGGTGCCCTCTTTCATGGATATAGCGCTGAGATGGGTAGGAGAGAAAAGGGTGGGATGAAGGAACCATGAGAGAAGGTCGGAGGAGGATGCGATGGTTGCATTCCTTTTGTGGGATACAAGGCTATCAACAGGAAAAGAACAAGAGGGAACATCCCTCCTGTAAAGGTTTTCCAGCTTCCACCTTGGACAGTAGAATGAGCAAGGTGGAGTTGGCTATATTTTACAACCAAGTATGAAGTCATGCATCCTTTCAACCTCTGACTCTTAACGGACTGGTGATTTTGAAAATATAACAAATATAATAACCACCACCACCACCACCATTTCAACCTATAACATAGCGACAAAATTAATATAAGTCATGAAGAATACATAACAACTCTTGTGAGAGAAAAACCACTGGGCTTTCAAAAGGCTTAGTTACCATGACCAGATACGTAAAGGATATTCAGGCACTCGTGTAGGCCATGCAGGACCAAGAATCTTGGTCCGAGTATCCACTCACCTGCCTTTCTCATTAGCAAGTTGTCATTCTGGCTTGGTATCTTTTGTATACCCCCCCCCTCAAATAATATCTGTGGGTGGGTGTTAACATTCCATGAAGTGTGATACCAAAGGTGTTCCTGTTCTTCCCAAAGACATATTGCTTTTATGCTTGCGAATACGGCAAATACATCTTAATAGGAAAAACCAGGAAGTGGCTTTCCAGTGAGTGACTGAGCAATCACGTTTGAATTTAAGGGTATGAGTGCTTCAATGAACAATAAACCTTGGCATTTTATACGGTGATTTTCTTTAACATCCAGAACACTTCACATGCATCATCTAATCCTTACAACAGGACTTTAAGCAGAGACAGCACACCTGATTTGGGGGGGGATTCTGTTCCTTTAAGAGAGGTTTGATGAGTGGCAATAGGCAGCTGAAGCTTCTCACACCATAAATGAAGTTAAATCACATGACCTGATCATTGCTTGGAGATCAAACTAGCATTTAAAGAAGCTGCTAGAGGGACCAATTTAAAAGTTGGCAACCAGACTTAGATAGTCCAATACTGTTATTCCTATAGTGCAATCGCTATGGAGGGAGGGACTGAGAGGGACCTGGCTGAAGGGTTTGAAACAGACTGCTCAGCTAATTGACCTGGATTTGACAGCCAATGGCTCAGTGGTTTAGTGTGTCTGCCTAGAAGTGCAAAGGCCTAGGTACAATCCCCCACTAGCCATGAAGCTTGCTGGGTGATATCAGGATAGTTGCTATCTCATCCTAACCTATTTTACAGGGTGGTTGTGATGAAAAATGGAGGGGAGATAAACCTGTACACAGCCCTGAGCTCCTTGGAGAGAGTATGGGATAGAAATGTGAATTTTTGCAGTGGAACAAAACCTGGTCACCACTGAAGTGTACTCAAACTTTAATCGATGTGCAACTGAAAAATTACAGAATGCAAAACTCCCCAAGTGTATTTCCAACAATGACCACTTGGTGGTGCTATCAAACAGCTTTCTTCCTTCCCAGCCGAAGGAATGTCACTATTTGTCTTCTTGCACTAAAACTGGCTGCTAACAAGCTAGAGATCCTAACTGGATTTGACAGATCTGTTCTATGGATTATCTCTTCTTCCCATTCACATCTTCTCATCACTGCACTCCTATCCCCACTCACAAATCTCTCTGCTTCTTTTCAATTCACCATTCCAGGATAGCTCTTTGGCCAAGCATGAGAGCTCGGAAGAAGACAGCTTTTTGTCCGCATTTCAGATTATGTTAAACAGCACCTGGAAGCAGACTGA